TCCTATATATCCCGCCCCACTTTTTGATTTTGAGGTATTTTTCAAACTTTCCAACCGCCGAAATGTATTAAATAGTACTGAGAAAGGGAGAAAAAGTACAAAAAGCTTTAAATGCGCTGATACATCTGTATCATGAACAGCGCCCCCAGTGTCATGTGGTTTCCAGCAAGCCCCCCCCCCCCCTCTTTTCGAATTTCACAGCCGGGACTTTTTTAGCTGTCCCCCATCCCCCAGTCCCCGGCACAGATTGACGCCACTGTTGCAAGGGCGGACCCAGGTATTTTCGTGGGGGGGGGGGGTGTGTTTCATCAGCAAAAGATTCTGAAAATGTACACAGGTTTTTTTTCTCCGGATACTTGGCCTCCGTAAAATAAAAAACTGGGCCATATTTCAATAGGGGTCGCTGTTCAAATTCGACGATTATTAACACTGGATTACATAATGGTGTACAAAATTACCCCCTATCTAAGCTGCCTCCGTCCGTATTTTGAACAGGCGGACATTATACCGGTATAATTCTTTTTTTTTGGGGGGGGGGGTCACAGCGGGGGGGGGGGGGGGGGGGGTTCGCATTATTTTTTTTAGGGATTTGTATGAAATAAAAGCAATTTTGGGGACACAGCTGGGGGGGTTGACCCCCCCCCCCCCCCCCCCCCCCCCCCCGATCCGCGCCTGTGTTGGCCTCAATGGTGCGGCAGGCTCGTGACGTTTGGACTGCAAACTGTATGGGTTCAACAAACTTAAGCCAGTGGGTGGACAAATAACAAATGACGTCACATGCGAACGGTGCCCCCCCCCCTTAAATCAAAAGCCGGGTCATTTGTACGGTACAATAATATAGTGTACATGATTGTAGGATTTTATCAGCGCTCCCCGTTGAAAATATGGCACGACCCCCCCCCCCCCCTCAGTATTTGATTTTACCATGGAGCTATGGGCTCCGTGCACAAGTGTCCCTTCAACGGCCAGGAACGGAGAGTTGGGGGAGGACCTTGACTAATTCCCGGTCCATCCACTGCGTATTTTGCAAGATGCAAAGTTACTGGGGGAGGGAATAGTCTGGGAGACTATCGCAAGTTAAATTGAACGTATGCGCGCGCCGACGTTGTCTGACGATCATGCGAATGCGCTGCGGCTAATAGCCTTGGCACATTCTGGAAGTGGTGTGGAACTTTGCGCGCGAACCAGTACAGTACAGTACAGTACGCACATGCTGTGTCCCGTCCATTGATGGTCCCGTACGTCCATGGTGCTCTCGAAAGTGGTAAAACGCGCCCTCTTGAGTTGGAGCAGGGAGCCCATACGGAGGCCAAGTGTCCGGAGAAATTAATTTCGGCGCGGATGTGCGAGTGCGGTAACCCCCCCCCCCCCACCCCCATCCGACATCAAAAGCTGGATACGCCACTAGCCTAGGCCCACTTGGAAGTAGAGCGTCTCCAAACCAGAGCAACTCCCTCCCAAATTAAAATATTAATGATACACTTTCCCGAGTGGGGACTCATCATAGTAAAGGCACTTATTAGACTTTAATTAATTTGCAATATTTCCACCTTTTCCAAATATACTGATACATTATCGGTTAATACAGTATCCGTTCCGTGGTGATACATTATCGGATACAGTTATTTTGTAGTTACATTATCCGTCGACACGTGATACATTATCGGATACAAATTTTGCTACACTATCAGTCAATTTTTGCTACATTATCGGTTAGTGATACAATATCGGTCAATTTGTGACACATTATCGGTTGGTGATACGTTATCCGTTGGTTTATCAGTTGTAACACAGCGCTCTATGTCGATCCTTCTCTCATTACGACATGTGCAATAATGACTGTCTTGAATTCTACCTCACCATTACCTCCATTCGGAGTCAGGTGAGATTGTATTGTCTGGTATTTGAGGAACGCACTCATTCAAAGAAAGAATGCAATTGGTGCGCATATAAAAGGTCCGTGCCCGTTCAACCGTCGGTGTATTTTTGGTGTTTATCAGGAACACACTCGATCGCACGGACCACTGCGTGGCCAATTCTAGTCACCATGATGGATGACATTTGCGCTTTAGAAATACATGCGAACCCTTCGGGGATGAATCACTGATAGTTTCTCGTCTTGACGAAGACGAGCTTTCTGGTCTTACTTAGCCAAATCAGGCAAAGCCACCCACGCCGGCTAAGAAGCGTACAAAACGAAAATCAACCGTTAAAGCTGCCATACCTGCTGCCGCTGGTAGTGAGCAGCAGCGTATCCAGCTTTTGATGTCAGGGGGCAACCACACATCCGCGCCAAAATGTAGACAGGTTTTTTTTCTCCGGACCTTTGCCCTCCGTAAAATAAAAAAATTACCCCAAAGATCGGGTTATGAAGTTGTTTTGGGTTATTTTTACTTAGAACTTGAGGTTAACTTAACCCTTACCTTGGGCTATGAAGCTATGATTGGGTTGTTTTTACTTATAACTTTGGGTCAATTTAACTGTAAGCTTGGGCTATATGCTTGGGTTGTATTTACTTAGAACTTGGGTCAATTTATAAACACTAATATCGATGTTTAGGAACGGCAAAGGTCAAAGAGTAAACTAGGACTGGGGATACAGTGACTGTTGAAGAAAAAGGGCGTGGGCTTGGTTGGCTAACGCATGTAAAAATGGCTCGGAGAAATACAAATCTGCCTGTTTCCTGAAAATTAGGTCTATTGTTGTCTCTCGGAAGTTTCCGTGGAAAACTCCGGCTAAGGCCTCGTTGGCTTGGAAAACCCAGGCCCAGGTACTGCGGGGTAAACCTTTAGTAGTTCCTTGGACGGTAAGCCCTGGTAAGCTCGTTTGGAAAAGACGGAAAACGAAAAAAAACCCCGATAAGATAAGGAACACGTTTTGTAAAATAAAAAAACAAGTGCTAAACGGTATACAAGGGAGGTGCACGTATTTCCGACACTCAGACAATTTTCAGTGACAGAATTCCTAACAGAACTAGTTGACCAGGGTGCTCAGTAAAGCACCATAGACTTTTGGGAGTCAACCCTTGGTTGTTAGATTCATGCGTGGAGTAGTGAGACCTCAATAACCACGCTATTCCAAAACTTGGGATGTTAATATTTTACTGCGACATATTAGTAGTCGAAAACCGTTGGAAAACATCAGCTTAAAACAGTTGAGTTACAAACTTGTATGCCTCTCTGCATTAACTACAGGGAAACGAGCACAAACGTTAGCATTGATTAATCTAAAAATCATGATTATCGATAACGGGTTTGTTCAATATAAAATTACCGAGTTGATCAAAAAACCCAAAGCCTGCCAAACCACAACCAGTTATAATCTTGTCACATTATAAACCAGATAAGTCATTGTGTGTTGTAAGCACATTGTTAGGATATTTAAGACGAACCAAGGTTTTCAGAAATGATAACATGAAATTGTTTTTGAGCTATGCTCCTCCACATAACGAGGTTGGTACAGCTACAATTAGTAGATGGCTGAAATAGTCACTGTTTGACGCTGGCATGGATGTGTCAACTTTTAAAGCACATAGTTTTAGGTCAGCGTCAGCATCAGCTGCAGTTAATAAGGGAGTTCCAATTGATGGAATCCTTAGAACAGCTGGATTGTCTAACGCAACAACGTTTGCTAAGTTTTATGACAGAAGTCATACAGAGAACTGTCCAGAGACATTGTTTGCAAATACCGTCCTAGACGGCAACTGAATAATAATGTACATACGCAATGAACTGGAGAGAATAAATGTAAGTTAATAAAATTCCGTCGCAGACGGCATCTGAGTTATAATGTAATGAACTGGAGAGAATAAAGTTAATTACAAAATTACATAAGAAACTTAAATTATTTTCATGTATAACGTATTTTAATACGTATTTTATTAAACGAAGATACTCCAGGGAAAGGATGCAAAGTAAATGATAAAGTACATGTACATGTACATGAAAACAACGAGACACATTTAAAGATTATTGAATTATTGATAAAGTTTATTGGAAGAACATTCTGTCAGTAATTGTTCAATAAAGAACGTAACTAGCAAAGATAATACACCTTCTGCTTTTGTCTTGATTATATGTCACATTACACCGTCTATATGCTTTGAAATCTCACCTGACTCCGAATGGAGGTAATGCTGAGATAGAATCTAAACATTAAACGAGAGTAACGAAGTTTGATTATGATTCTACCGATCCATTACCGTAATGAGGAGTCAGGTAGCTACCCTCCCTCGTTTTCAACATTCATGAATCAAGCCTAGAACTTTGCCCACTCTTGTTGGTGAGCCAGTGTAATGCGATTGCTTTAAACACTTACGGTTGAACGGGCAAGGACCCTTTTATATGCGCACCAACTGCATTCTTTCTTTGAATGAGTGCGTTCCTCAATTACCAGACAATACTATCTCACCTGACTCCTCATTACAGTAATGGATCGGTAGAATCATAATCAAACTTCGTTACTCTCGTTTAATTTTTAGATTTCGCGCTGCACCACGCCATAATTAACGCTCAACTAAGCACCGGCATTTCACTTGTTTGCCTTAACAATGCCGACAAAAATTAATATTCCAAATAAGGAGAGCTCCTGAAAGGAGGGAAGGTATTTAAACATTCCTCACTGGATTTTACAAGTTACTTCAAACTATTGAAATATTTGTAAGTAAACACATGAATTCGCAACTTGCAAATTCGGTTTGTCAAAGTTACCTCTTGTTCTACACCAAACGTGCATATTACTCCTGCATCGTGCTTGTGCGCTAGGCGCGCTTTTGGCCAGTTGCCGCCAGCAACCCGCAGATGTATGGTCATATCATGAAAAGAAAATTATGCAAGAAGCCTACCTGACAAAACCTAGGGGATAATCAGTGAGCACAATTGATACTGGGTATAGAATATGACGTAACGCTATTGGGAGATGTTTCTTTGAAACCTAGAGGATGAATCTATCGAAGCGTATCAACAGGCCAGTGTACGTCTGTTAATAAAACCATACCACCCGGTGAAGGAAACGTACCACCACTTCAACAATCCGCCCTTCCACAGTGAAGTGGTCAATTCCTGTTCTTCGGCCATCGTTGACACCTTATACTGACGGTGATGATGACTTGTAACTGACCAGCAATGTAAGAACCATTTCCTTAATTTGGTAAGAGAAATTGTTTGTAATAAGAATGGTAGACATACAATATTAATTATTGGGCCCTATATGCGAGAGTGGATTTTGTGAACTTTGTGTGATAACTATAATCACTGAATGCTTGTATAATGAATTGGAATGGCATAATTGTGTTACGCCCCAACTATACTCTCTAAATACCAAGGAGTGAAATTTAGGGCCCAGACGATTAGGAGAGAAAATGACTCTCGTTAAATTAGTGGGCGCGGCCAACCGGGATTTGTTTTTTAAATTGGCTTATCTAGCTCCCAAACCTACATGTATGTTCAAAAATAGAAAGTGGTGCGTTTTTGCTCCGAGAAAAGTCCGTTTTTTGCGTGTTACGTCGTCTTTTCGTATTGTTCCTTCGTCATATGTTGTGTGATAATTAGTGAACCCCCTGAGAATTGATTGTTCAAGACATTACAAAACAGCAACGATTGGGTTCGCACGTCAGCTGAATTCCGTTTTCTTAATATTCATAGGAAAGGCATTGAAATAACCTTTTTGGTTATTTAAATTATAATAGAAGCCAAACCTCTGTCGGATTTGTCCTCGATATGGTTCGCGCTTATTAACACAGTGCATTATACAAATATAGCGTGGTTTGAGGGTGGATGGCCAGTCGATATTCGCTCCCCGAGGTATTGGAAATTGACAAACTAATACCGAGGGGAGCTGATATCGGCTGTCCACCCGAAATAAAGCATGTTATATTTGTTTTACTATACCTCATACATATTCAGCTGCCGATTCTTTTTTTGTTGTTGCAGTATGCACCTCAAACAAAATCTTTGGAGAAACTTGTACAGCTCCCCAAAAGAGTATCATTTTCACTTGTTCAGTTCGTTTGCAATAAAGTAACTACAGTTGTAAATACAGTTGTTTGTGGACAACTTTCCTTCTACAAGAGGAATCTTTGTTGTCCATAAATGTTCTCCAGTTTGGCGTCCTAGAGCTCGTGAAAAGTAATATTTACGCGTACCGTGCAACCATCTCTTCGTGTGTAGCTCGTTTGGGTGATGTTCGCGGGTGCGTACTACACCCGTGCGACAGTTCCACGATTGCTTTGTAAAGCGCGTGCGTAAGTAGACTGTCGCAGTAGTTAGACTGAAGATGTATGAGGTATATTCATTGTATCTGTACAGTTGAGTGACTGCCTTGATGTCTGTCGAGCTATATACACCCATCAAACTCACCCATACAGACAGGAGTTACACAAGTCAAAGCGCGACGCCTGTGCTGAATCATGGCTTGACTGCTAAGGCCGAATAAAAAAAAAAACATGTTTAGCGTCCTGCCTTTTTGAAAAACAGGAAGGAGGGGCCCTTTTTTTCTTTTTTGTCTCAAAACGACCGGCCGGGCTATTTTTCAAGATGGCCGCAAGCTACTTTTTTTAAATGGCCGCCACTTGGACTCAGGAAATAGCATACCAGCTTTATATAGGCTATATGCAACAGACAGAGGCCAAAATGACGTCACTGTTTAAACTTTATCATTTTTTTCGGGTTTTTTTTTTAAGGAGGCGGCCTCCAAAAAGGAAGCGGGCGGGGATGCTCAACATGTTTGTTTTTTACTTGGCCTCATAATGGGCCACGCGTGACGGGCTTGACACAACTACTGAATATCCGTATTAGTAAAGTAAAGTCTGTCCCGAGCCAATGTGGCTCATCAGGCCGGTGTTTATCTCCGGTTTCCTTGGCATGAAACGACCGAGAATATTTCTACTCCACCTGATTGGGATGCCAGTCCATCGCAGGATTACTCCCCAGCTAATGCCGGTACCCATTTATACTCCTGGACTGGACAGACTGGACCAGCGATCTTGTGGTCTACGCTGAAGTTGCATGGTTTATACAACAAATATATCAAGCGGGGTACCTGGGCTGGAATTACTCGCCAACGCCCCATCAGAGTCGTGGTTAACTGTAGAAATATGCTGCCTCGAAAGCAACAGGTGGCTGTCTGCGTGAGTTACTTGGTGGCAATTAAAACCAATACACTTAATATACCTACCTTGATGAATACGGATGCCAGATCTTTGATTCCCAAACTTGATGAGTTGAGTGTAACGCTAACTGAACATAAAGTCGATGTGTGTTGCATAACAGAATCATGAGAAAGATTTCCATATACGAAGTTCACTCAACACCCTGTGTACAAACCCTATGAGATTGGACTGAAAAATTCTAAGTGTTTTCTAAGAAAATGCTTGTATTTTCTCACTGCTCAAATTGACGTTGATGACATGAAATTGCTATCTGGGGACTTGTTAGTCAATACAGAGGAAAATGAGTGAACTTCGTATATGAAAATCTTTCCGAATCATGGTGTCCTACCGGTGTTCCAGGTAGCGTCCTTTTGTTAGATCACTATAGCTATCACCTCCCAATAAGACACAACAGAGACCATACATCAGGTGAAAGGATTGTGTGAAGGGATGTACATGCCAACATTCCATTCTCGGTGTTCGGGAATTTAGCCGAGGAGAACGTCGAGTCTGTCTGGCTTAAATTGCAGCCCCAACGTCTTCCGCGGCAGTTTAATCCCATCGTGTTTGGAGCTATTTATCAGCCCCATATTGTCAGAAACAAGCATAATCATATGCTGGAGCACATATACACCTCGCTAGACAGTGTTATGAGCTTGCACCCATCTGTGGGAATTATTTTAACAGGTGACTTTAACCGAATGCCAGATGCTATCCTCAAACGCAACTACAAATTGGAGCAAATCGTTAAAGGGGCAACACGAAACAATGCGCGCCTGGACCTGATATACACTAACATGAGTGATATGTACTATGAACCACCAATTGAACCAGCGCTTGGTCTGTCTGATCATCAAGTGGTTGTTTGTCAACCCAAGCCGTCGTTCGCAATGCAACCTGCCAACAAAAAATGCACGTGTTATTAGACTCTTTCTCCCAGGTGGGCTAGACACCATTGTACCAGTGTATCCGTTGCTCATGTGACACCGGGAATCGGCGTCGAAAATAGGGACACTTGGAATACGGCCAGTTCACTTCTTTATTCTGTGAGAGAGTAAAACAGGGTGATGTTACTCGATCGAATCAGTGTTTGAATGTGGCTAACAATTATTTAAATAAACAGTTAAAAATCCAAACCAAAGGTACATGTAAAGATAAACCTAACAATCTACTCAATTATCCAATCAAATAAATGCAACTTCAATGTAAATAATAAGTCATGGCTTAATCACGAATGAACTGTAATAATTTAACAAAATGGCGATTCGCGCCAAACGATCGGCGTTGGCTGGGGGGAGGGGGGGGGGGGGGAGGGGGGGGGGGGGGGGGGCGTGGCGGGGGGGGGGGGGGCTGGTAACATCTGTCGATGGGGGCGCTGTTCAAACCGACGATTATGCACACTAACGGACAATATATGGTGCTTTTTACGGCGATACATGAGCACTTGTTCAGAAAAAAGGGCACATGTTGTAAAAAGGGCACTCTTTACAAAATATTGTGGGGGGGGGGGGGGTAAGCGCTGGTGAAAAAAGGGCATTTAAAAAGAAAAGGGCAGTCTTTACAAAATATTGGAGGTAAATACCCCCTTTCCACACCCCCCCCCCGGCTACGCCTATGCAACTTCGTAGGGCAGGTCTTAACCAGCTGGACCTCTGGAAATACTATTTTCTTCCTCCATTCTTCCGTCAGAAAGTACATTTCTTTTCTGTTTTTTACCTCATGTGAACTGCGACAATTCACTGGACAAAAGGAAACTGACAAAATTTAGGTTTTGCTTTGGTGAACATTGGGATCGGTCGTGAGCTAACCCTGCTGAAATATAGACTTTTTCACCGGACACCACGCCGCCTTATGTACATGTGGGGGTGGGGTGGGGTGGGGTGGGGGGGGGGGGGCTAGGGGAGGGACTGGATACCATTTTTCCATGGGGGCGCTGTTCACAATCGACATGGTCAATGTCCTCTTAATACAAACCCGAGTTGGTGTACTGTAGGCGTATTCAATACTTGATATAATCGTATCTTTACCGATAAACCTTCCATATATAATTATCTCTTCTTATAGCAACATTAATCAAATGTGCATGCACATAGGCCCCTTCATAACTTTTAGGCATTGTTATCGTTATCAGACGTGCATTCATATGGATTTTTTTATATTCTTTTTTTTTTTAATATGTAATCACGTGATATTCAGCTATGGCTGTCATGCGTGGTTTGTTAATAAAAACATGTTGAATTGAATTGAAATTTTAATAAGGGGATAAAAACAAAAATCAGAATTCAATTTTACGCAAAAATAGATTACATTGTAATAAAATAATTACTGTTGTATTACATTTGCCAATTTGGCCGAGAAAGTCAAAATTAATCGGCGTTTTAAGGGATGTTCTCGGACATAGGCTAATAACTTAATCAATTATTGTTTCATTTTAATGTCCTTAAACTTGTGTAGGATATAACCGCTGCATTCTTTTTTTTATAAGTTTTTCTTCTGCAGCTAGACCACATCAAGATGTATTTTCCGGGCAGGATTGTTCTGGTTCTTGTCGGCCTGACTGCAGTTTTTAAAAGTATTATTGAAGGTAAGACATTGCCAGTACAACAGCTGCATGAATTTAAAGGTGTCCCGTCGGCCAGATTAGTAAAAAAAGTCATGTTTTATATAATTATTTACTTAACCTTATTTTAAAGGTCTGGGTCACAAACAAATCTACATAATGTCTAACATTTTGCGGAGAAAAGTCGTAAAAGTCCGTGTTGGTTACATCATGAGTGCAGGTGGCCTCGTGATCTTGAGCATTGAACTCATGGTCTGCGGGTAATTCTGCAGGTTGTGGGTTCCAGTCCAGCCTGTACTGTGGTTGTGGTGCATGTGCTGTTGGGCAAGGAATAAATGGGTATACCTGCAGAGAGATCATGGTTATTGTGATTGATTTTAACTGCTTTGCGCCGAAATGGCAGCATCGAGCTGTATACTCACCAGGGCGGTGAGTTGTCATTTTTCGTAGACCTAATTAGCAGGGTAATATACATGTATGTAGCACTTTGAGCAGCACAATGATAATGCGCTTTATAAATACACATTATCTGACCAGCAGCGGTTTTTGACCTTCAGCGGTTTTTGACCTTGTCGAATTTTGAGCCAGACTATCAACAACAGATTTGAGCTAGATAAAGTGTTTTCAGAGTTCACTGTGGGATTCACTGTGAGGTCCGCTAGCTTTCAGAATCATACTCTACAGGGAACGTTTTGAAAAGAAGCGTGTGGCTGGAATTTCAACAAGCGCTCCAACAGCTCGATTTTAGGACAAAAATGTGTTCCCCGAAATTCCTTCGCGCTGATATCACATGAAAAACAGTAAATGTCTTCATTTGAACGTTCATGTTCTCCTTTTTTGTGGCCTTCCCAACTATCATCATTTTGGTTGAAAGATTTAAAACTTAACTTGACAAAATCCAGATTTCATCACTGCGTAGGGGGACCCACTAAACCAATTCTTGTGGTACGTAGCAGAAATGAAAGTGCTTGATTACTTTGGTTTCACTGCAGGAACCACTCTAGACTGCGACTTTGAAGACCCAGCCCAAAGGCTCTGTAGTTGGGTGCAATCGACAGAGGACAGTACGGACTTGGTTGTTAATTCAGGGTCCACCCCAACTAGTAAGACTGGTCCGACTGCTGATCACACCATCGGAGGTAAGTCAACGTGGATGCTCGGAAAAAGTCGGAAGGATTTAGAAATTAATTAGCCCTGGCTTATTTTCTTGTTATTTATTTTGTTTCCCGACGAATATCGTTGCCAAGTTTATTGATGTTCACAAAGCCTATATTGACGTCTTGAGGCTTACATCTTCGTAGATTCCCCTAACGTCAACTTTACCCTTATTTGTGGGCTTTACATATACTATATATATCCATGCAAGTTTTAATGGCTGTTGGAAATTCAATAGTTTACAAATTTTTATTTCGCTGATTTAAATTTAGACCATATCTGACACGAAGTAGCCTTTTACTTTTAGGGTCTGTGAAAATCACTATTAGTGAGGCAGTGTAGGGGAAATATTTGGGGGAATTGTGCCTTTGATAATACAAGCATGGCATATTTGGCATACCGTCAGAGTATGTCTATAGAGAGATATTTGGTTATAGGACCATCGCAGATTTGTCCTTTGAAAAAGATAATGGTAGAATAACAAGCAATTTTCAAACTTTTCAAAATGGCTTCCATTGCTTGTTATTCTACCTATATTTGTTCAAAGGACAAATCTGCGATGACCCTATAACCAAATATCTTTCTCATGGCATACTCTGACTGTGTGCCAAATGCCATGCTTGTGTCATCAAAGGCACAATCCCACCACCTATCTGCCGTACTATATACTTTTCCCCACTTTCGAAAAAAGTCGTTTTGCGAATGGGCAATTATTGACATAACTATAAAATAAATTTTCATCTGAAGATACACAAGCTTGCCTTCTGGGCTTATTTTATATCAATCAATATTTGGGGGTAAGATTATTGGATTTTGTTCTCATGCCAGATGTATCCCCATGTTTAATTAAGAAAAAAGGTTTACGACCCGACCCTATAGGTAGAAGGAAACACTAACATTTGACGTGTCAATGTTCTGCTTAGGCCTACCCCCATTTACAGATATTTAGCCTACATGTAAACAAATCGAACCAAAATGTCCTGCTACATTGTTGATTTTTATTATTTTTGCAATCTATACCTTTTCTTGTCTATTGTCTTCGCCAATTACAACTATACGTGGACAGGCCCGGTATATCTAATAGGCACATTAGGCACTGTGCCTTGGGCCTACGAAAAATTTGGGGGCCTACGAAAAATTTGAGGGCCTACATAAATACCGCAGAGTACCAACAGGCTTTTAGAGCTATCAGTTTGGCCTGTCTTGTTTAGTAAAACAACATAAATTTGGTCCTGGTGCCCAGTGCGGAGTAGGGCCTACGAAACACTGGCGCCTGGGGCCTACGGAACAATTAATCCGGCCCTGTACGTGGAAATAAATTATTCTGACAATAGACATAGGCTTTATGCGTTTCGGGCACTTGGGCCTTTAAGTGGTTTTACGTCCATCCGTATACGACTCACAGGAAAGGAATTTGTTTGTGGCATATCACTGAGAACTCACCATCATCTTCCTATTGTGGCGCAACTTGAACCGGGGCTCCCCAGACTCAGTTCGCCCTGGCCTCCTGACTAAACCTTTGGTAAGCCTAGACGAGCGGTGATCTAGGTGACCTAGGGAATGCGTCCGTTCGGAAGGCCGTATGCCGCCAACACGTACAAAGTAGTCTCCTTAAGGGTGTTCACTTAAGGGAGGGACTCCAACTGACAGACTGAACAAACGATGAAGGAACAGACACTGACACCTTTATTTATCAGACAACAACGACAATCAAGTTCTTTTAATTCTATATTGGGTTCAATTAGAATGTAAGAGTTAATCAACAATAATTACTGGATGAAACGGCACCTGCGTCAAGGGTGAACTATTCGCAGCGCTCCCCCACGCTCTTTTGCGACTTACTATCAGGAAACCCCAAGTTACCGGCGGCAGGACTCCCGAGGCCCCAGTGGATACAGCCCACGAGGTAGCAACACAATTAAAGACCATAGAGCAGATCCCCGGTGTGTCTCCGACTACTAACCTCCTGTCCTCGCCCAGTCGTCAGCACGTCAGTGCACACACACGACAACGCACACACACATTCGTTCTCCACGAGACGCCGCAATTCACGTCTGTTCTCAACGACGCGCTGTGATCAACTCCCCCTTTAGAACGCGCGAACGGACCCAACTACAGAGGGCGCTGCGCAAGCTCGCTGCAGCTCACGCTATAAATTGCTCGCTGCAAGCGCACAGTTGCGCCACACTATACTGTGCAGTAACCTCCGCTGGAGTATACTCGCATATTGATACAAACATAACAACTATACAAACATAAGTGATTATTATAGTTTCGAGGGTGGGGAATACGAATTACGTTGTCATGTCTCAATTTCTGCAGTTTAGATGTAACGCCCTATTAAAGGTGCAATCCCTATTATCCCAGCAATGGCTGATTATCTTAGCCTTCACTTTTTTCAATGAGTGACGGAGAATGGGGGAACTTACTGTATACAATTAAAATGACGGTACTATGTCCTTATTTCTGTAGTTGAAGTGGTGCACACCATTAAAGGTGCACTCCTAGAATCCCAGTTATCTATTAAATGGCTGATAATCTTGGCCACAGACAAGCGATATTTTTTTGGCACTGCGGGATGAAGAAGGGAAAAAATTACAAAATAAAAGTAAACGCTGGTATCTCCTAATTCCTGCAATTTGGAAAAGTGAGATATGGCTTTGCATTGCATTATTTCGCCTATTTGTACAATCGGTGCGTGGTTCACGGGAGAACAACTGATTTGAAGTAGCAACAGCCAAAGCAGACACGTTAAAATTCCTTTATGCGTCGGGGGCTCCTACGCATATTTTGCGCTGTTCAAATCCAACGATCAGCAACACTATATGACAGAATATTGTGTCGAAATACCCCTGTAACAAAGCTGGCTCTGACAAAATTCTGTGCACAGGCGGATATTATATTGTGGCGGATCTCGATTTTCTCGAAAAGTGACGGTCTCGAGAACCCTCCAGACGAGCGGCAGTCCAGATGGTCCTAGGGCGATAATCCGTTTGGAGACTTTCTGTCGCCGCACGTAACTAATTTTCCCTTATATTGTTCGAACGACAAATCTACCCAACCAGACAAGACATGGGACCCAGACACAGATGCTCAAGCTTCAAGAAGTCTTTTTATTCAGCCGTGCAACAACTGAATTTCGTTCATGATTAAAAATGCCTCTACAAAAGGTAAGTCCTTAAACAGATGGGGGTTTCCTTAAGGGGAAGGGTTTCCTTAAGGGAAGGGGTTTCCTTAAGGGAAGGGATTTCCTAAAGGGAAAGAGAGTTTCTCAAGGAAGGGGGTTTCCTTGGCTCCAGACGACCCTCCGAGGTCTCCCGAAGGCAGATGCCGATCCTCCTGATGAGCTCGACCCTTCGTCTCCCGCGATGCAGTTGTCGTTCCAGATACCTTAGAAATTGGTTCCTCAAGGGAGGGGGTTTCCTTAAGGGAAAGGGAGTCTTTAAGGGAAAATGAGTTCCTTAAGGGAAAGGGTTTCTTTAAGGGAAGGGGTTTCTTAAGGGAAGGGATTTTCTTAAGGGAAGGGATTTCCCCAGTTTCTAGACGACCCTCCGAGGTCTCTCGAAGGCAGTTGCCGATCCTCCTGATGAGCTCGACCCTTCGTTTCCCGCGAGGCAGTTGTCGCTCCTGATACGTTTGGAACTGGGCTCCCAAGGGAAGGGGTTTACTTAAGGGAAGGGGTTTCCTTAAGGGAAGAGATTTTCTAAAGGGAAAGAGAGTTTCTCAAGGAAGGAGGTTCACTCCTTTCCGTAAGGGAAAGGAGGTTTCTTAAGGGAATGGATTTCCTTTAGGGAAAGGGTTTCCGTAAGGGAAAATGAGTTTCTCAAAGGGAAATGGTTTCCTTAAGGGAAAGGATTTCCTTAAGGGAAAGAGATGTTCTTATCGATAGTTCAACAATAAAAGTGCTCCACTAACAAGATCTGCCAAATATGTCTACGAAAGCAAATGGAGAATTCCTGCACAGAGGTGACAATAATCAACCCAAATATGTTGTCTTCAATCGAACGAGTATTAAGCTTCACTTAAATCAAGTAAACCAAAAGATCTATTCCACAATTGCACCACTATTTATAAAAGAAAAGGAGTGTGTAACATTAGGCCAAAAAAAGTATCCGGTTTCTGGTATGGAGCTTGCCCCAAAAGTGGTGCGGCGACGCGGCTTTTTTTTTCTTTTTTTTTACCTGTTTTTTTTTTTTTTTGGCTTCAAATGTCGGCTGATGACTGCAAATGGTGCCCGACTAAACTTAGTGCAAATATATGGGAGTCCAGAGAGGCCACATAAAGCTTATTCTCGATCATAACCCCATCTAAAAACACGTTAAAATTGTGCAGCAGCAGGATTCCAGTCAAACCAGTGAGTTTGGCGGTTTTGAGACATCATCTTGTATTGAAAAAAAACTTTTTCATTTTGCCGACGCGCATGGCTACGGCGACGCGCGCGCATACCAGAAACCTTTTTTTTTTTGGCCTTAACAATACAGCTGCTCAACACTCACGGTAAAGCTTTGCGGTCACTCCCCGACACAATGCTCTGTCTGTCCCCACGAAGCTTTTCTTAGTCTGCCACTCTACGGCGCGCCAAAACAGTCTGGCCAGAATCCGCGCGAACGCTGCCTTATAAACCCCATTCTAAAAATAGCGCAAAAGCCATGGCGGGCAAATGAAACATATAAAAGGTATAGAGCGCCGATTACATTTCGTTACAATATTATCCTATTTCTTTGGGATGTCACAGCAGGGGGGATTCACATTATTTTTAATGTATTTCTATTGGAAAAAAAATCAACACAGCTTTCGGGGGTTTGACCCCCCCCCCCCCTTACTGGATCCGCGCCTGTACTTATATAATATTAGATTGCTTTGAGGGGGATTACAAGATTATATTGTACGAGCTATAACGATATTTCACGAGGCGAGGACGAGTGTAATGGACCAAAATGACACCATTACGGGATACAAATGTGGCTCAAAGAAAGTTCGTTGTTAAATCACCACATCATTATAAGGTAAAATATGGGTTCGCATCAGAATTGAAATGTTGAGATGTAGACCTACGTATATACGTGGGTTCGGTTATAGAATAACAACGCAATCAACAGGCTATTCTGAGCCGCGTACGTATCCCATACCCTCACCACTTCCTATGCATGAAATGATGCAACTTTGGCGGTTGTGTAGAAAGTTATGGAGAGTCAAGCATTTTTTTAAAAGTATTTCCTAATTGGGAATGTTTCTCGGTCCCGGGTTCATGTCTTATTGTCATTTTTGCAATGACTGACCGTCACGTTGCAATGATTCTTTCCCTATGCAGCCCTAATGTTCCCTATAATCGTAACGTCATGGGTGCAATATTGCAAAGATATGCAAAGATAATTACATGTTTTTAATTGAAATCTTTTTGCAGACATTAACGGAACCTACTTGTATCGAGAGGCTGATGATCGATCCGATGGCCAAGATGCAGTTCTTATCAGTCCAGTAGTCAATGTTTCATCGGGAGGCTCATTATGTTTCACTTTCTGGTACAGTATGTTCGGATATAGATCAGGTAAGAAAAAAGACTATTTTGTGTTTGTCTAAGGCCAAGTAAAAAAACTGTTTCTGGTTTCTCCGGACTTTTTGAAAACCAAAAGGAAGGAGACAGCCTTTCTTCCTCTCAAAATGGCAGATTTTCAATTTGGGTTATTTAATCTTTCGACACACCCCTTGTGTTGATACTTTTGTGTTGAAAGGAACTGTCATCCTTTCTACCATATTTTTAGCTTCAATTTTGTTGGAAACAAATACAAAATATTAACTACATGTATATTGAAAAATGTATTATTTAAAAACAAAGGGGCCGGTGGGGAAAAAGGAAGCGGGTGGGGACGCCAAACTGTTTTTTTTTTTACTGGGCCTAAAGGACGCATAATAATCACTTTAAACGCAACGCTTACTTCAAAGGACTTAAAGTTACTCTCTCGTGCAAATGCTATGTTCCAGTTTCATCCCCAACATAGATTTGTTTTGAAATTGTTATTTTTTTCTAGCCCTACATTATTCACTTCAAGCCCAAAAATCGACAAATGTTATGGAGAATAACTATGATAATAATTTTAAAAAAACGGAGTCTCATATAGCTCACGTATCTACCAACAATATTAGGTACTCAAGGCGCTGGTAATGATGCCTATTTTTTTTTAAAGAGTTTCAAATGAAGTTTATGAGTATTAAATATGAGACCCATTATGCAACTTTTTATACAAGGTGCTGCGATGCATATTGCAGCCACTGCCAGAAACACCGGGGGAAACCTCTTCTCTAAGCGATAATTGTTACTTGCTCAAGAGCACAAGGACAATGTTCCCCGTCAGGAATCGAGCCCATGCACCACGGCACACACGAGTCGAACACCGTAACCATTGGAACCACAACTCTCACTGAAACAACTTAACAACTTTCTAATTATTTGGAACCGTTTAATTATGACAAATGGTATTGGGGCATTTAAACATCCGTATTCATGAGCAAACCTGTGATACCATTCACGGCAAAAAAATAACGATCTCAGTAGTACAGCTGCTGCTTCAGCATCAATGTTTCCAGAATTTGGGGATTTTTTCTGCCGTGGTAATTGTTTTGGTTGTGGTGGTTGTTTCGATACATGACCTTATAAAGTCTATGGGCAAACTTCATGCAAAAATGTTTTCTTTAGTCAGCAATGTTTTGAGGTCACAATTTAAAAAGAAACCCCCTAACCTTAAAAGTGTGTGCCCAAATCAACATCAAGGCATAAGCGCCCTTTGTTGTAAGGAAAAGCGTGAAGCATTTGAATTTACACACAAACCCGCTTTTTTACAGAAACAAAATTAACCTTAAAGAGAAGCATTTCAGTTTTCTATATTTCAAAGGAATGAATACTTGCACAAAATAAATTCCATTGTAAAATTCATGTCATGCCTTTTAGTGTCTTAAGTGAAGTTGTGATTGATTTGGTGTTTTTTTTAACAGGATCTCTGAATGTATACGCGAGTCCGGTCGAACCAGGCAGCATGAGCACGCTACTGTTCAGTATTTCTGGTCAGCAGACTGGCCAAAATGCGTGGCTACAAGCTCAAGTTGATTTGTCCAATCAAACATCAGCTTTCAATGTGTCTGTTGAACTGAAAACCATCAATGCGATGCGTGGCGACATTGCAATTGATGACCTTGCATTTGTTGAAAGTGAATGTGCAAGTAAGTAGCATATTGTTTAGCAAGAAGTGTGTAATTCTATAAATTAAGGGTCCAAGGTGTGACCTTTTTTCCTGTACCTGTTACCTTGGAAGGCCTACTTTGTTATTTGCAATTCAAGTATCATTAATTAAGAATGACTGCAAATTATGTTTTATCTGTCGGGTAGGTAGTTTGCTATTCATAACCCCTTTGCATGACAATTATAAAATCATAGATCTATGTCAGATATAACAGGGAAAGGACAAATTTATGGACCCCAAATTCATAGAATGATCCACTTACCTTTATGACATTTTCCTTGGATAATGGAGATGCCATGAAGGGTACGTGTTCCCAAATAAAAATAGAACGTTGCGTATATCAGCTACACATACCTTTTAGTTGTAATATCACATTGAATGTGTATAGTACACGATACTATGTACCCAATCCCCTTCCCCTTTTTGAAAAAAAATGATACTCGAGCCCTCTTCCCCCCCCCCCGAAAAGTTGGTTCTGGATCCGCCTTAATTCCCAATGCCAAAATGCAAATCATGCGGTTGTCCAGTCAACATGGTCAAGGAGTAGCAGTATATGAAGATTTAAAAAAAAAAAAAAAATAAGCCAGTTTCCTAGTGATTAGATTATTTTTTTTTTTTTAAATAACCCCTTCAACTTGCAAAGCCATCGTCTTTGATATGCGTGCAGATTTGTGATAAATGAAGCAAAACAAGACTGCGTCTTGACCTCCAGATTCGGGCCATTCAGCGGGCGCCTTCTATCCGGTCTTTGGTAAGCTGTTGTTGTTCGATTACTTCCCCAGCTTACTTGCGCCTGGCTCCTCGCGTGATGACAGACATGCGTACTGGAGCTACATAAACGAACGGTTTCGGGTAAAGTTTCGTGCAAGAGCTGGAAACATGAGCGTCAACAGGATTTTTTTCTAGAGGGGGGCAAAACATGTTTTCAAAAAAAAATCATGTTTTTCTCAACATATTGTCGGTTTATCAGTTTTAGAGGGGGCAAGGACATTTTGCCCCCCCCATTAAATTTACATCAATATGACTCGCCTCTTTTCTTTCCTTTTTTCCCCTCTTTTTTCCCTTCCTTTTTTGCTTTTCCGGGGGGGGGGGGGTGCGCCCCACTGCCCCCCCCCCTCGCGACGGCCATGGCTGGAAAGTTGAATTTTGACATGACACAGGCGGAAAAAATGTTGCAACCTGACGCGACTTTTTTCTTAATATAATTATCATCTCAATGAAGGTCATTCATTGCAAAAATGATGAAAAGACATGAATCAGGGACTGAGAAATATTTTAAATTTTGTTAGGAAATACTTCGCGGAATTGGCGTCAGGTTACAAAATATTTTTTTCCAGGCTGTATCCCAATCAAACAACTGTCTAGAGCACGTCAACGCCCAGTGAAAATACGCGGGGGCGCGCTGACATAGAGCTACATATGGTTTGTAGCTCTATGCTCCGTGGATGCCCGTTTCGGACACGGCCTGAGGCGTCCGCCGGACGTTGCATGGCCTTATGGGATACTTACCCAAGTAACCGGCTCGGTGAGTCGATTACTTGGGCCAGGCTCGAGTAAGCGCGAGAAGTCACTTGAGAGGTACGTACGTACGCGTTTGAAGTCTGAGTAACCAACAAAAATGAAATGTAAGCATCTAGGAAGCGTAATTCTTCAAACTACATTTCACAAGTTGGCCATCTTTTTCATGTGTTTCTTAAAAGACAAGGACAAGTATCGGAGTATGTGTATGTATAAGCCTATTGAAGAAATGGAGATGCAGGCAAAGGTTGGAAAACACATTCGAGGGTTTCTTGATTTCTGAAGCCCTGCAAAAGAAAAAAATCAATATCTTTCATAAACTCCCGAAGTGAATTCAAACTTAAATTAATAAATCCGGCCAATACTTAAAGGGAATATACATCATTGGCTTTTGCTGTAATTTTCAGAAATGAACTATTTGAGGGGTTAGTATGATAGATCAAATATTGTTACACTCCAATGTTTGAAGTTTTGTATTCGAAAATGCTGGAAAAACCAAGAAAAACAAAACTTTTCAAGTAGTCTGGTTCCCTGACTCCACTAAATATAAAATGGATCAATTTACAGATGCCGGGAAATTGTTAGGTAAGGGTACCAGTCTAGCTGGCCTGCACCCATTCATGAACATGTAACCAATAGCAAACACAATTTGGACTGAATTAATGGTAAATTTGGAACAGTAGTTTCCAACGGTGGTCGGCCGACCACCGCTGGAATTTTTTTTACAAAAATACCATTTTCTTGAAAATGACTTTACACCAGGTGCCATAATTTTACAGGATGCTTTAGACTGTCATTTACCAACATCCTATTCAGGTATTTCGCAAAGACTGGTAGTTTTATTTTTCGATGTTTGCAAATGTTGTATATACCCTTTAACGTTTATAATGACTGAAAAATAAAAGCAAAAACCTTAAAGTCTTACTTTCCACTCCATAGTTTATTACGCCCAGTGGGCCGAATAATCCTCCAACAATGGCCAGACTTCAATCTATGTTGCCTATTGTTCAAACCCTGAGTCACCAGTTGGACCGATGGGGGCGTCACGCTTCAGTAACCGGGTGGCTTCTCTGGCTTCGTACCAATTGGGGTGAAAGAAATTAGCATACCGGACCCGGTACCCGAACGGTCTGTTATCTGAGGGCTCACCTAAATCGAACGCTGTCGCGCTTGCAGGAGTAAGCGCGGGGAAAGTAATCGGACGCACTCATTGACTGCGTTCGATTACTTCCCCCAGCTTACTCACGCCTGCTCCTCGCGTGATTACAGACATGCGCAGTGGAGCTCATTAAACGAACGGTTTCGGGTAAAGTTTCGTGCAAGAGCTGGAAAGTTGAACTTTGACATGAAACTAAGGCTGCATCCGAATCAACTGTCTAGAGCTAAGTCTAGGTCCGCGCCCTGTGAAAATACGCGGGGACGGGCTGACAATAGACGTAGCCTCTGGAAGCACACGGCCTAAGGCGCCCGCCGGACGTCACGTTGGTAGCCATGTTTATTGCATGGCCTTATGGGATACTTACCCAACTAACCGGCTCGGCGAGTCAGTCACCTGGGCCAGGCTCGAATAAGCGCGAGAAGTCACGTGAGAGAAACGTTGTCGCGCTTGCACGAATAAGCGCGGGGGAAGTAATCGAACGCACTCATTGCATGACAAAAACATGACAACAGCTTATTGGCCAAATTTCTGCTCAAATTGACGTTACTATTTTAAAGTCGACTCTAATCAACTGGCCCACGGGGTCGCATAACATTTACATGCACACATAATAATATCAAACGTTGTTGCGGAGCTTGCGGGCTCCGTTCTCTTCCGGTTAATTACAGTCCACCATCTGGTGTATTACATACTGTAAGCATTCGGGGAGAAATTTCAACGGATGATACATACTCAGGCTACTTGAAAGGCAGCTTAGCTACAGCAGCAACGATGACCAACTTAATAATCACGAAGGTGTGCTACCTGATATCTAGAATAAATGTCTTGTACTAATTGTGGTGAAAAGACAATTGCCACTAATAACGAAAGCCATACAAATCTTTATCTTTATTAAATAAGTAATAACTCCCTTCACTGGAACCGGGCTTAATTCCAGACTGTGTGATCATTACGCATCTAAGGTTGATGTTAATATGTTTTTCTCTTGCTTGCAGATGTAAGCTTATCCTTCAACTGCAGTTTTGATGAAGGGCCGTGTGGTTGGACTCAATCCATGGCTGATGATTTGAATTGGACATTAGAACGAGGAGCTACAGAGACTTCTAATACCGGACCAGCAACAGATCACACTACTGGAAGTAAGCTGCTTTTAAGATTAAAGCTGAATTTGAAGGGAACTTGTGGGATTTTAATGAGCCACTTAACTAGCACCTGAATAGTAGTTGTCTGAAAAGGAACCTGCGAATTCGTTTTCGATTTGGCAAACTGATAACTTTGTTCACGATATTTGCAGGTAGAATATACAGACCAGTGAAATTGAAAATGCTGTGTACAGCCTAAACTAAATGTGAACCGCACAGCACCTGAGGTGTGTTGATCTAAAAGAATGGAGTTCCTGTTCTCTCAATTAATTGAAGTTTTAAAAAACAATTTGGAAGTTCATTTTTGAACTATTTCTCCCGCAGATGAATTTGGATTGTACTTCTATTTCGAGGCTAATAGCATATCAACTGATGACAGAGCGTTACTTCTAAGCCCAACAGTTGCTGGTTCACAACAAGACGATTCGTGGTGTTTCAGTCTATGGTACAGCATGTACGGTCAGCAGATAGGTAGGCACACGCTATGTCGAGTAGCCAATTTCAAGGCATTGTTTACATCAGACATGGTGGCAGAAGAGAACCGCCAAAAAGTCTTGTGTTTTCACAACCAAATCATCAACCTCTTTCTCAGCAAAATACCTTGTTTACTTTTTCCTGAACTTTTGTGGGCATGGTTCTGACCTTCCCCTTTTTATCGCGTTAGTCAGGATCCATGATGTTTTGGTACCTAGCTTAACAAATTCCTCAAAGGTGTAAAGAAAAAATAAGGGCAAAAAGATTTACCTTTTCCAAACAGGGGAATCAATTCATTGTTTTCATAAACGTATAAATTAATGCTCTCATCTTCAAAAAAAGAGGATTTGTTGTATCAATGATACAACGAGATTATATTCCGGCTTGGATATTGATGTCAAAATATCTCACGTTAAAATAAAATGTAGCATGTTAAAAATAAATTGCCTGAGCTTCAAATATTCATTTTTGGTATTCTAACTTTTTTCATCATTTTTTTTTCAGGTACCGTAAATGTGTACTCGATTCCCTCGAGCGCAAGTTTGAGTACACAAACTCCAATCTTCTCCATAACAGGACAAACAAATGGTTTTCGGGTGTGGCTACAAGCGATGGTTAATGTTAATCAAACAAGTGATTTTATGCTAGCCCTAGAGGCTGTCTATGGGACTGGCCCATTTGGTGATATTGCAATTGACGATGTCGCCATTTCTGAAGGGGCTTGTTCGTCAGCTACCAATGGTAACCAAACTGTTTTGTTATTAAATCTTTGTTCTATTTTTGTTTGTAAAAAGTCTTCCCATTGTTCCCTTTTCCCAGCTTTATCCCCCCATTGCTCCCTTTCCCATCCATATCGAACTGGCATTTTGTCATGTTCGCTCTGTCAACCTAGGCATTTTATCTTGACAACATGTATAATTCCAGGAATCTCTGTGTGTCTGTCTGTCTGTACATCGATTTTCTCCAGAACCGGGCACTGTGTGAGGTTGAAAATCGGAGGGTGTATTCTTATGATGCTTGTGATGGAGCTCTGGACTCCGGAATGTGCAGTGTCAAGTTTGAAGTTGTTTGGATGAGCGGTTCTCGAAAAGCTTCAAAAAAGCTGCAAATGTTTTGAAAAAATACTCGAACCCTCTTGCCCCCCTGAAAAATTGGTTTTGGAACCGCCCTTAATTCCGCATGCCAAAATGCAATCATTCGGTTGTCCATGTCAACATGATCAACGAGTAGCAGCATATGAAGATAAAAAGAACCAATAAGCCAGTTCCCCAGTGATTAGATTATGTAAGTTTTTTTTAAGAACGCCTTCAAGGTAGTCTTTGTCGCAAAGCAAACGTCTTTGATATGCGTGCAGATTCGGCGATTAAGATGCAAAACTGCGTCTTGACCTCCAGATTCTGACTATTCGGTGGGTGCCTTCTTAGTCAGTGGGCTTGTGGTAGCCCATATGCATTTTCGGGTACATTCTTTGAAACTCTCAGGATGACTTATACATACCTCAAGGAGTTCAAAACCACTTGATGCCATTTTTTTCTGACCCTTTTATGGGCGGGGCTATGACTTTAAAAAGTGGGGGGCTTCGTGTGCAAAAAATGATTCAGAAAATTTTTGCATCTTTTGGGGGTGGGCCCGCATTTTATAAAAGCGGGGGACAAATGTCATTAACAGACGATCAAGCTGTAACGGAATTTTCTTTTGGTGTTTTTGGTTTTTGTTTCCATCCAGTACAGTAACTGGGTGGAAAGAATGCTTACCTGTCAAATCATAAAAAATTGTTCCTCTTTATATGTGTGTCACACCTTTTTTTTTCATAAGAAAGGGGCATATTCCAAAATTGGGCTTGCGGGAGCCAATATGCATTTCAGGAATACATGTCACCATTTCTGAAGGGGCTTTGGCGCCATTAACTGAACATTTTTGTTATAAAATCCTTGTTCTATCTTTGTTTGTTAAAAGTCTTCCTATTGTTCCCTTTCTCCCTGCTTTAATCTGCCACCCTGTTCCCTTTCTCTCCGCTTTATTCCCCCCATTGTTTCCTCTCCCATCCATATCAAACTCTCATTTTGTCAAGATCGCCCCGCCAACATAGGTTTATTATTTTTTTTTTTAATAAATGTGTGTATTTATATATTTTTATATTGTGATGGTGTTTTATTTATGTATACCAGTTACAGCAATTATTTGTTTTATTTATATGTAAACGGTTCATCTTTTTTTGTAACTATGTGAAGTTTTAGTGGTGAATAACGATACTGTTTTCTCCATACGCAGACCCACTGAAAAATTTTCAGTCAGATGAAATATTTTGAAAAAATATGTAAATGCATATATATTTCAAAGAGCTTGTTACATTGATTTGTATTTAATTATAATGGATGAAGAGAAATGATCAAGAAACATTTTATCCAAATGTAACATTCATGTAAACTGGTTCACACAAACCAATGTAGGAAATACCCAAAACATCTGGGAGTTAAAAGTGAGGGCTCTCTTTTGTCTACCACAGATGATAATGTGGATTTCAACTGCGACTTTGAGGAAGGCTATTGCGGATGGAGTCAACCGACTGATGACAGCGCTAATTGGGCTTTGGAGCGAGGGGCAACATACACAACTAATACTGGACCGGACTTTGATCACACCATTGGTGGTACGTAGGCTGTCAAAGATACCTTTGAAGCGTATATATATACGATTTGAAAGTTTGCATGGTGAAGCGAGCAATGAGAGTTGCGTTCATGGTTGCGTCGTGTGGCAGATCGCTTTTGTGAGTTTGTGAGGTTCTGAAAAGAACCGGAGAACTCCATGTTTCGGACAGTGCATGTGCACTCTCAGTTGTCAGGAGACTGACAGGCAGAGTGGGACCTGCAAAGTGGCATAACATAGGGGGCGAGGGGGTGTAATTGGGGTGTCATGCCCCTTTTGTTCTCAGTTTTTGAAGAAAGAAGCTGTTGTTTGAATCATGCACCAATTTATAATTATTCTAAAGTACTTCCTCCAGAATCGCCCCCCCCCCCAGTGCACTAAACCAAATTGAACTGTAGCTATATGGCTCCTGCAGAGTACACGATTTTGTGAGATACATGTACATCACAAACCTATCAGGCATGGGGTTTTAGCATCTCTGAGGAAGGCTATTGTGGATGGAATCTCCCTACGGAAAACGCTTTGTACCGGACTATCAAGACTATTGTAGAAGTATGCATTGGCTAATCGAGTATACTAGAAATCAGTGGTTCGTGGTCAGTCCACACTGTAATTTTGCGACCGTAGACATAGTGGTGGTTGCACTCCATTCCGAACACAAGAGCTAGCAGCTCCTTTTCGATTTGTGAGTAGCGTGTCTCTGCTGGGGTAAGGGCATGGCTCACAGTGGCGAAACTCTGTGCCAGCGAGTTGGGGGGGGGGGGGGCGATCGGGGATGACTAAAATTCAAAAATTGCCCGGCTGTGGAAATTCGAACAATTTCAGGGGCTGGACTGATGCCAAAAGGCATTCGTTGTAGCCATATCACCCCCATGGTGTCTGGAAGGTGGTTGGGTAGGTGGATTCTGTATCAAGTTCGCACGAAGGAAACCCTCCTTACAGTCCTCTTTAGTGAGGATCTTCACACCTGACATCTGTGGCAAGATGTTGTCGATCACTGGCAGTGGGTAATACCCCCGCTTGAGGGCATTGTTTAGGGGCTTGGGGTCGATGCAGACTCGCATCTTCCCATTTGGTTTGTTGACAGTTACCAAACTTTTGATCGTCTCGGTGGCGTAACAGTTGGCGTCGCTTGTCAAGTTCGAGATGGACAGTGCCTGGCATGTGACCAACACATCTGGATAGGCGTTCTTGGCAAATTTTGTTTTTAGTTCATTGAGCTTTCTGCCATTGCAGTTTGAAGCCTTCGTGGTTTATTGATCACTGCCATATTGTGATGCTGTATACGTATGTCAAGGTCTACCGTTTTTGCAGTTGTTCTACGCAATTCAATCATTGGTGTGCTCTGGCCCTCAATCATCACAAAGGCCACAGTGTATTTCCGCATGTTTTTATCTGGTTCGTTAGTGTGACGTCAGTTTATTTTAAACCACGCCCACTGGATATTAAGTAACAATGGAACCATTGGAACTGGAAGCTAACGCAACTTAAGTGATCAGTGGTGCGCGCGTATATGACGTTTTTACTAGCGAATCGGTTCACCAACGACGGTATTGGTTGCTTGATTATTATACAGTGACACATGTCTTCTTTGACTTATCTACCTTTGTGCCTTCATTCTTCTGAGGTTGCACATAATTGCACCCTTTGACCATTGATTAGAAATGTGGTCATTATCTAATTTGGGTACCTTTTGTATATACTGTCTCTCGGGTTTCAATTTTCCCTGTCACATCTTCAGTCATCATGACCTAAAAATCATAATCAGAACCAAAATCGTCAGTATCTTCATTTAGTGCACAAACTGTCATTTCAGATTTGGGAAAAATTTTTTTTTGCTTGAAGCACCTTGGTTCTGTTTTTCACAAGTTGTGCATGTGTTACCACATGTAGGGCATTCAGATTTTACTTAAAACTCAAATTCGAAAAAAAAAAGAATTCTAGCGCCACAGATACTGGTTCTACCACTAAAGTGAACATTTTGTCTTTTATTTTACAGGAGAAAATGGAATTTACTTGTTCTTGGAAACCCATGGAGTGAGCGTTGGGGCTAGTGCTGTCTTGTTAAGTCCTGTTGTGTCTAACGTTACTGGAAAACACGAATTCACTTTCTGGTACAACATGTTTGGGTTTCAAACAGGTAAATGGGTTATTGTGGTGTTCTAAAAATTATCTTGTTTCGATTTTGAGCTTTAATAGTTAACTTTGGCATGTATTGTACACAAGGGCGGATCCAAACATTGGCTAAACTGGTCCGAAATTGCCTCAGATCGCACCACAGAACATCGAGAATCCAAAAATTTGGAGACACAATTTGTTTTTGGCCCCCCAAAAGTTGTGTTTTTGGATCCGCCCTTGATTGTACATTTGTCGTTAATTACGATAAATCATTTGACAAGTGACTCATTAAGTTTTGGTCCAGGAGAGGAGCAACATGGGATTGTTTTGAATGGGTTTCAAAGAAGCTCCATTTTTATTTTTTGAAACGGGGGGGGGGGGGTGGTTTCAGACGAGGAATTGGAATTGACCCTGTAGAGGCTTCTGAAAATAGCCTATTTTACAATTCAACATAAACTATTGTTTAGCATGGATGGGTCAAAACTCAGCCTTTAGTGTGGGCCTATAAATTATGAGTGATCCCATCTGAAAATTAACAACATCAGCAGCATTGCTAAAGTTGTTCTATTGTGGCTTTGCGTGTTGTCCCTAGCACCCTGGCACCCTAGCACCATGGCACCATGACACTTATGATTTATTGGCTTCTGGCTAGCATCCCATGGATAAAGACATAGAATCTTGGGAGAATGACACCAAAATGAGGCTAGTGAAAGCCCGAGAGCACCAGTACGGCTTTCCAGGGATCGAAGGCTTAAATCTCGCTCTGTCAGTTGATTGGCTCAACATTGCATGGCATACCTTATGCGTAGTGGCCATCTTGGAGGACATCCATTTGATATTTATTGTAGAAACAATGAGTGTACAAAAGGTTTACTCATGCATATCACAACAAAAAAGTCTGCCCTCTAAGATGGCTGTTACACTTGGGTCTTTTATAATTTACTATTAGGCTCATCAACAATGCCTCGGCCAGCCAAAAAAAATGGAAAATTAATTTGGTTGAAAGCATTTTCTGAAAGAGGGTTTATTATTAAAGTCAATTTCTAGTTGTTTTTAACAGTTGTTGAATTGCTTCCTCAGGTGATCTCAATGTGTCTGTGACGCCAGTGAGTGGTAACATAAGCCAAGGCTTTTTGATCTTTTCTCGAATTGGTCAGCAAACGAATAGTGTAACCTGGCTACAGGCAACGGTTGCGTTGACTAGTCTGCCAGCAAGCTTCAGGATTGCATTTGAGGCCACAACTGCCGGAACATGGAGATCTGACATTGCCATTGATGACATCTCCTTTGAAGGTCTGTGTTGTTCATTTTTGCTCGGAGTTGAGGTCAGAATAATAAAAGATTTGTAGCCAGCAACAGATTAATAATGGGGACCATTTGAAATTCTGTGTATTGTAGAGGTAATCTCGTATAGGATAAGGAAAAAGGAGTTCAAGCAAACTTCAGGAATCCCATGACGCCGGGTAGGCCTATATAGTTACAACTTAAAAGCCCCAAGTAACGTTTCTTAGTACAAGAGGAATGGGTAAATCAACGCTGCACCACTCACAGATGTCTCCTTCATGGCAGACCTACCTGTATATTTTGGCAGAGTTTGTGAAAGGTATTATTATTGTGGCGGGAACCCCCCGGGCCAACCCAAGTCTGTTAGGATAAGTCTGACTCCTAGTGGGGTGAAGACAATCTTCCCAAACCAAGGCTCTTCCCTAGACGAGAGATCACTCAGAGCGACCTTCAAGGCTAAGGGTGCAGGTCCGTTTTGGTGGAAATCTACCGCCCGATTATGAATAAGTGTTGATTATTTATCTCTGTTAATTAATTGCACAATAAACCTGTAAACATAAACACCGGAAGCAGAATTGTCGGTAATCTCAAACAACAATGATCGTAATTTATTCAACAATAATCAAGTACAACAATTAGGATGTGATTCGGTGGGTTGTTTTATTAACAAGGTCCTTAGTTACTGGAGATAGCCCGCTGCTTGCCTATGCAACAACGAACACAGCATTAAGCACTAGACAACAATGGCAGCAATGAGCAACTATGCACAGCGCTAGGAATGAATCACCGAGTCAGCAATACACAGCGTTACAAGCACACAACAGCCGCTTAGCAATGTATACAGTCCGTTAGCAGGGTACTCGCTACGCCGTGTGTGTAAGCAAGAATCCAGCTACACATACCAGCGCAACCCCAGTACAGCTACACAGACTTTGTACACAAATCGCCTAAGCAATTTCACATAGCAGAGCACAAGTAATTTACCTACTTCTCTGCCCGCTGTCGCAGCTACGCTCTAGCCCGCTACCTCCAGACACTCGGCACTCAACACCCAAAACAGCTGAGCCCCGAACCTAGACACACTAGTATCTCACCTAACAACGATTATCTTCTGAACAAGCCGCTAGAACCAAACCGCTACAAAAACCTGATCTGAAAACAGAACTAAACCCCGCGCGCTCCCCAGGCACGCATTTATATACATGTACCAGACGCTACGTCATGTCTACAAACCATGTGCGTGTACTAACCCTATGGTGCGCTAAACTTATGGGGAATTATTGGCCAATCATGTACGCGCAGCAGCCACGGAGCTCGTAAGCTCCGCCCGGTCACTGCACACAAGTGATTAAGCGTTAGTGCTATGGTATGACGTCACAACTGAACACTTTCCGCCACAAGGCCCGAGCATGGCAGAGGATGTCCCCATACTCTAAAGCCATAATACAAAAATAAAAGGAAAGTGTGACTACATCTTAACATCTTCAAAATAATTCAATACAAAACTTAAAGCTTAACTTCATCCATAAAATTCAAAAGAAAACATAAGACTTAACTTTTTCTTTGAATTACAATAGAAAACATAAAGTTTAACTTCATCTTTGAAATTCAAAAGAAAACATAAGAGAGGAAGCTGATATTAAAGTTCATTAAATATTCACAAAATATAACATGTACCTTCCTCACATGTACTTTACATGTGTACATGTGCTTAACATGTGCAAAATATAACATGTACTCTACCTACATGTAACTTACATGTACAAATTTTTCACATGTGCAAGAACACCAAATTCAGCTCATTAAATATGCACAAGATTGTAATTGCACAGTACAACGTGTCGAGAATCCATGTACATGTCCAACTTCACCAAAATTTGCTAATTAAATATTCACAAGATTTCACAGGTAATTATCGTACAGCATCTGAATCACATTTTTGCTCATTAGATATTCACAAGAAATTTAAGGAAAATTACACTCGTCTAGGCCAAATTTTAGTTCATTTAATATTCACACAAAAATTAAGGGGAAAATTTGCACTTATTTTACACAGATTAAAGGCAGAAATTTAAGGATAATTTAAGACTGATGAAATGTACACTTAATTTGTTAGAAAGATTTTCGCTAATCGACTTTTACATGATTTAACTGGGATAAATTTTACAGAGTTTAAACAACGGATTTTCCAATTTAATTATATACATTTTTTTTTCTTAACCGACAATAAACTTGTATAAAAACATTTATGAAACTTTCAACAAAACTTTTAAGAAAACATTTAAGAACTTGGAACTGATTAAAACCTTAGAAAACTTTAGAAACCTTAGTTAAACAAAAAAACCATTAAACTGTAACACGTCGTTCACTTCTCGACGGGACGCCCGTTCTCATCAACAGACACTTGCTTGTAGAACATCTGGTAGTTCTCTTCGGAGACGATGATGTTGCCACACGGCCACGTCTGAGATGATGACTGGACCCGTATAGCTGCCGTCCTCATCTTCAACAGGGGGGATGTCTCTCTGGAATTGGAAACTTCGGGGCGTGGCTGGGATTGCCTCGCCACCTCTTCCAGTGGGGGAATGGAGGATGCGGGGGACGAAACAGGGGAGACTGGAGCCTCATCCCTTGGACGACCTCAACAACAAATCTGGACTCTAACGATACCGCAGGGGCAATTTGTGGGCCCGTCTTGGGTACCGTCTTGGTGCTGACTCATCCTGCCGTTCTGACTGATCGGCTGGACTACCCGGACTCAAATCTTCAGTGATGGAATCCTCCACAGGAACCTCATTTTCGGCCACTTCAGCCAACTCCTCAGACGACTCTTTGTCATCTTGAACCTCGGGGATTTCATCCATGGGGAGGCTTTCTGTCACCTGTTCCCCGGACTGACAATCCCACGTTTCGATTGCCTCACCGACATACGGTTTTAGTCGGTCTACATGGACTACCTTTGGCTTGCCATTACGCTTAAGCTGGATCCGAACTGTCACATCTGACAACTTCTTGACAACAAGCCATGGTCCTTCCCACCTAAGTTGTAGTTTGGGGGACATGTGCTTTTTCTTCGCAGGGTTGTGTAGCCACACAAATTGGCCCTCTCTCAACCCATGCTGAGACGCTCTCCTGTCAAAATTCTTCTTTTGCCTCCGGGCACTTTTCCCGAGACAATTCCTCGCCCTATTGTGGGCCTCCTGCATATTACTTCGCAATGTTTCAGCGAAGTCTGCAGTGGCTTCCACCTCAACCTCAGGACACCCTGTCACCAGATCCACTGGGACACTCACCTCTCGCCCCATCATCATCATGTTGGGCGATTTCCCCAATCGAGTCTTGCGGCGTACACCTATAAGCGAAGGTCGCAAAGGGGAGGAACTCATCCCAGTCCTTCTGCCTACACCTAGGGTCAAGGAGCATCGCCACGATGTTGACCAAGGTTTTGTTAAACCTCTCAACCATGCCGTCCGATTTCGGATTATAGGCGGTTGTCCGAGTTTTCGAAATGCCGAGAATTTGGCACATTTCTCTGAACACTTCTGACTCAAAGTTTGTGCCCTGATCAGAGTGAAGTTCTTGGGGCACCCCGAATCGACAGACAAACTCAGTCACCAAAGTGTGCGCGACTGTAACTGCAGTAGCGTCAGGAAGCGGAAATGCTTCCATCCACTTAGTGCAGTAGTCGCCAACCACCATCACCCAACGATTACCATTGTCCGTGACGGGCAATGGCCCGAGCAAGTCTATTGCTACTCGCTCCATCGGAACACCAACTCGATACTGCTGTAGGGGCGCAACCCTCTTCTTGGCAGCCGACTTTCTCCTCGCACAGACATTGCAACCTCGGAGAAAAGACCGCACGTCCGCAGACATGCCTGGCCAGAAGTACCTGGCTTTGACTTTGGCCAGAGTTTTGCTGACCCCCAAATGACCACTCAGTTGCCCACCATGCAACTCCGACAGAATTTCTTTCCGAAACTTCAGTGGCAAAACCAACAGCCACCGGACGGACTTGCCGTCGTCGGAGTCCCACCTCCTATGCAGAACTCCTTCCCGGACCTCTAACTGGTCCCACTGTGACCAATAGGTCTTACAGGCTGCCGACAAGTGCGAAACCATCTTCCACTCAGGACGACCATCACCGTCCTCCTTCAACTTTATGAGCCAACTCATGGTGTCATCCTGTGACTGTGCTTCCTTTAAAGCACTGCGAGACAGGGTTGGTTGGGCAGCTACGCCCCTAACCAAAAACTCACTCCCCGGAGGCTGAACCTCGGGTACTACACCAGTTGCCTCATCCTCCTTGACCACCTCCTCACGGCCGCACTGTTTGCATTGCCGTCTCGACAACCCATCAGCATTACCATGCTTCTTGCCACTCCTGTGCTCAATGACCAAGTCATACTGAGACAGGACCTCAATCCACCTCGCCAGCTGACCCTCGGGGTTCTTAAAATTAAGTACCCACCGCAATGCGGCATGGTCAGTTCTGACCGTTACCCTGCGGCCGTACAAGTATTGTTTGAAATACTTCAAGTACACAACCACAGCCAACAACTCTTTACGAGTGACACAGTAATTTCGCTCAGGTTTGCTGAGCTTCCGGCTCGCATACGCAAGCACTTTTTCGTCACCACCCTGGACTTGCGACAACACTGCCCCGATACCTTCACCACTGGCATCGGTGTCCAGGATGAAGTCACCCTCGGACATTGGATATGACAAAACTGGGGCGGCTTGAAGCCTGCCCTTCAGCTCGTCAAATGCCTCTTGACAACTCTCAGTCCACTTAAACTCTCTTGACTTCTCGGTTAACGCATGAAGTGGACTCGCCACTTCTGCAAACCCCTTTATGAACTTCCGGTAGTACGATGCGAGGCCTAAAAAGCTTCGCACATCTCGTACACACTTCGGAACCGGCCAATTTGCCACTGCCTCAATCTTCTGGGGATCCGTGGCAACCCCTTCTTGGGACACAATGTGCCCTACGTAAGCCACCGACTTCT